TGGGAGAACTATGAGGTTATTTTGCTCTAGTAAAGATTTAAAGCCTTAGAAATCCTATGCAGGGTGACTGTGAGTTGGAACCAACTCCACAGCACATAACAACCACCACCACCATAGATACTTTTATAGTACTGGTGTGGCACTGTATATAAGCATTGGATTGCTGGCCACTTGGTAAGTGGTTCAAACCCACTAGCATCTCCTCAGAAACCCTACACAGAGTCACTGTGAATCAGAATCATCTCAATGGCACTTAACAACAACAATATAGCTACTTCTATGTGTTCTACTTAAGCAGATATCTGTACCTACCTGTGTACCAATATACCTATGTTGTTGGTAAGTGCCTTCTAGTCAGTTTTGACTCATAATATTTACAAACCTGTATAGGGTTTCCGAGAAGCAGCTGGTGGGTTTGAACTGCTGACCTTGTGGTTCACAGTCCAATGCTAATCCTACAGGGGATCACCAGGAGTCCAAATTAGCCTATACCCATCTGTATATGTTCAAATACTGATTTTTAATTTGGTTATGCTATGCCTACTACATCCACATTTGGTGTCACTTTTCCTGTTACCATAGATAGTTAGGTAGATAACAAGTATTTAAAATCTAAAGCCCACTTTACCTTCCTCTCCCCTCTCTGCTAATTACCAAAGAATACTGATCTTTCTAAATACCTATTTTGTCTTCTTATAAAAGAGGGATAATGCAATATTTGTCATTATATGCTTGACTTATTTCACTTAGCATATGTCCTACGTGTTCTTTCATGTTATGTTTTGTGAACATACCATTGTTCTTGATGGTTGCACATTAGATGTATACTACAATTTGCTCATCCATTCACAAATTGATGGATGCTTCAGTTGATTCATTTAATTTGTTATTGTAAATAAAGCAGAAATAATATAGGTGTGCATATGTTTGTTTGTGTCATTATTTGTAGGTACCTAGGGTGGTGTGACACTGTACGATAAGCACTGGACTGAAAGGTCAGTTTGAACAGCAAGGTTGGCAGATCAAACTCACCAACTGCTCCTAGGAAACCCTATGCAGAGTTACTATGAGTTGGAATTGACTCGACAGCTCTAAATAACAACAACAAGAGGATATATACATAGAATCCTAGTGTGGTGTTTTAGGATAAGCAATGATAATCAAAAGGTTTGTGGTTCAAATCCACCAACCACTCCTTGGAAGCACTATACAGGGTTACTATGAGTTGAAACTGATATAAGGTCCAATTGCCCTATAATAATAAACAATTTTTAATAAAGGTTCAAGCTGAAGTGGAAAAATTTTACTATCAACAACTCCCCGGATGCAGAAAACCCCTTTCCCCCTTAACTTTGGCTAAACTTGGCTTCTGCAACACTGCTTATGAAAACTCCTCGCATCTGGGTAGGCCCTCCAACATGACGCTGGGTTGGCCAGCCAGCCAAGGTTAAACTTGAGAAATAACATCCAGCCAAAGTTAACCTTGAGAACTAACTGTCCCAGAAGATCTACCCCTAACCCCCACCCTAACAGCTCATGCATACATCATACCCTTGGTTTGTGTAAGATAATGTCAGACTGCCTATGTATAAATACTCTTTGAAGAACCGGGTCAGGGCTGCAGTCTTTCCCGCTTTTAGTTGCTGACTAGCTAGTAAAGGCTTTCTTGTTGATTCTGAGAGTCTCAAGTGGTCATCTGGGTAAACTGAGGCACAACACTGACTCTATGGCATTTAGCAACAACAACAAGTGTATATACATAAGAATGGGGTTGCTGGATCATAGGGTAGTTCTATTTCTAGCTTTTTGGAAAGGCACCGTATCATTTTCCATAATGGTTATATCATTTTACAGTTCCACCAGCAATGTATAAGAGTCCAAATCTTCCCACATCCTCAGCAACATTTTTGATTATATCTCTTTTTCAATTAGTGCCATTTTAGCCAAGGTAAGATGGCATCTCCTTGTAGTTTCGATTTGTATCTCTTTACTAGCTAACTCTATCCTATAGGATGATTGATTGTATCTTTTGAATTAAAGATGATTCTAAAATGGCTGTAAAAGTACATTGACAGAGAAGTGCCAGAGGTTAAGGCTAGATTCAGAAGACGACATGGAATGAGAGATATTGCTAATGTCAGATGGATCTTTATTGAAAGCAAAGAATAGCAGGAAGATGTTTACCCATGTTTTATTGACTATGCAAAGACTGGATGGATAATGACAACATAGCTTTATGGACAGCATTTCAGAGAATGAGTTTTCTGGAACACTTAATTGTGTTCATGAGTAACCTGTACAAAGACCAAAAGGCAATCATCCTAACCCAACAATGGGACACTGATTGTTTTAAAATCAAGAGAGGTGAGCACTAGGGTTGTAGTCTTTAACTATACTTATTCAATCTTTATGCTGAGCAAATAATCTGAGACTGGATTATATGAATAAGAATGTTATATCACATTCCATGATTAATTTCAGCTTTCTTAAAATCTTTGGCTATTATAATAAGGCCTCAGGAAATAGCCTTGAGAAAATGTGGTTTTCTATTTTATAATATTTTGATTGATGTTTTGTGTATAATTAAATATAGTGATGTTGTGGAAAAAAAAAAAGAACGTGACATCAGGATTGAAGGAAGACTCATTAACAATCTGCAATATGCAGATGATACAATGGTGTTTGCTGAAAGAGAAGAGGGCTTAAAATACTTATTGTATGGATTGTATCTCGATGTAAAGAAAACAAAAATTCTCACCACTAGAGCAATAAATAACATCATGATAAACGGATAAAAAACTGAAGTTGTCAAAGTTTCATTTTGTTTGGATCCACCCTCAACAATCATGAAAATAGCAGTTAAGAAATCAAACCAAACAACATATTG